CTGATTACCAATCAGTAGAGCCACTAACAGTTCATTTCAAGAACTAATCTTACTCAGATTCAGTTATGGAGTGGTCACAATGTTTTGAAATACATGTACAGTATGTATAAAAAAGACAGTGGAAACAACAACAAAATTATTTTTGAATGCGCCAGACTTGAGCAAGCAGTCTAAGACATCTCTATTTGCTGTTTATTCTCTTTTGCACTTTGCAGAAATATCTCTCTGCGATTTTATCTGAACATTATTTAATATAAAAATAAGATGTGTTATGTAAATGTAGTTTAACATCATTTGGTATTACTTGAGATACAATATGATAAATATATAAAGAAGATTAATTGCAGGACTTCCTATAAAATACAGAATACATGTTTATTTTGGACAAAGAAAACCAAGGCTCTATTTGAAGAGATGCAATTAAATGCATATATTTAGATTATATTGTCATGCTAATTAGCAATGGTAGGAACCAATTAGGACTAGGGCTACCAAATCACCAGACTACATTGCATATTCACTAGTGTACCTTTACTGCTCTACTCGTTTTTGCTGGAAGCAGATAAAAATGAAATGCGTTCTTTTGAAAGTCCATATTGTTGTGCATTTTGAGCCAAATCTTGTTCGTTGTGCTTTCATAAATTGTCCCGCAGAAGCTACCGGAACTACTTGTGTGAGAAAGACAGACTGGCTGTAGGAAATATATGTGGCTGCTTTAGGTAGCAATTAAAGAAAAATACAAGATGCAAAAAACCTTCTTTCGACTCCAATGGCTATTGTTTGAATAAGCGAGGTTGGTAATCTGTCATTTGCAAAATGCTGGAAGTGAGATTTTCATTAAACGTCCTATGTCGATGACATGTATTTCTCACCATTACACACCTCATTTATCATTCTGGAATGAGGACCAAGTACCATATGAATGTAGAGTTTGTGAAGGTATCGCCTCACAGCCCTGGAGGCTGATGACCCCTCTTTATCTACACAGCAGGTAAGGCACAAACAGTGGCAATGTGAGCTCTCTTTGCAGTCCCCTGCCAGTGTGCCTGACTGCTAAGCTGGGCGAACAAAGGAAAGATAGCATATGGATAGCAGATTGTAGGAGCGCTGAAAGAGGACTGAGGAAATCTATGTTGGGTGTGTGGCTCTGCCAAAGATCTCTTGTATGACTTTGGCCTTGTCACTTAATCTCCTTCTGTCTCCCTTCCCCTTTGCAAACAGGGAGAAGGCATCTCTCCTCTCCCCCAGGCTTTGCCCGGAAATCTGTTCAGACCCTGAGTTCTCTTGGATGGTGTGCTTGTGCAGCATGGGGTGGAGGAATACTGAGCTTCCTTGGGTCCTCTAACTGCTGCTATCATCCAAATAATAGGAATTACTATTAACAGAAGAGTAACAAAGAAATCCATGTCTTGTTGATAGATTTTACTCATCTTTTCAGGCCATTCAATCTTTGGCCTCTGGGTGAAGAGTATGAACAAGGCAGGCAATTAGCGTCAGGAACAGAGCTGTGAATTCTTCTTTTATAGGGTTCCAAATAATGCTGCAAATAGTGGCATTGGTGTTCTCTTTCCTCACCTGCCTCTTAATGCTTTTTGGAGACATTTGCGCCAAAATAACATTACAGTGTTTCTGCAATGCACGAACTGAAGTGCTGTGCAAAAGGCTGTATTTTGCTTTACTTTGGCCCTGGAGATGGCTCCCTGCGGGACTCAAAAAAAGCCCTCAAAAATGTTAAGGCTAGGGCAGGGACTATTGTTTCTATGTCTCTGTTATGCACTGTGCATATTTATGGGGCAGTATAAAGAATAAATAATAATCCACAAACACTGCATTCTGTGCCCTTGCCTACCAATTGTGCTGATGAATGCATCAGTGATGTAGCTACTGCTAATGAAACTAGGATCAGATTTTTAGCTTCACCTGAAATGTATGTCTGTTTTGCACCTGCAATTTTGCAAATGTAAATAATTTCATATGTAATTTTTCAGACATACCCATTGGTGGGTATAATTGATGCCATTTATGGACAGGATTTTTCAGAGGAGCTGTAGAAATGGAATTTCAAAATGATCCGGATGCCTAAAGCCTCTGTGCTCCTATATTTTTCTCAGTATATGACAGTGTATCTTCCCTTCAGACAAAGCGTTGCTGGTCTAGAGGACATCATTTGCACCTGCAGTTATGCACATGTGCAAAAGAAAAATGGAGAAATAATGAAATCAGAAATCAAACCCAAGCACTATTTTTTGCAAGATTTACTGGACAAATGTGATCATTTTTATCGCTATTTTTTCCCGGGGGAAACAAATATTGGGGGACTTGCTATTAGGGCTTTAACTCTCATTTCCAAAACAACTAGGGAATTGCCTCTGTGCAGAGTTCACAGTGAAAGGCTGGCTTTATTCACATCAGCGGAATAAAACAAGGCCAACCTCTTTTGGGAGTGAATGGCTGGGCGAGACTGGGTTTTCAACACCCGTCCCAAAAGGCTTACTCCGTGGTGGCTGCCGAATACGTAAGACTGGAGTGGAGTATCCCAATCTGCTGCTCACGGAGGTAAAGCAGTTGTCACCCGAAACCCTTCAGGACTTAGAATTTTCTTAATGCTCTGCCTTGTTGTGCGAGCCCATTGAAAGAACACTTCAGAGGGCACCCATTTCTTACTAATGTAAACTTTCTGAGGAGTATCCAAAGATATGACCTCTGGGTGAACCTTTAACCTTCCCCTTAATTATTTGTTTGAAGACAGTGTCGAGTTCTCCCGCTGAGAGCCAAGGCCCATAATGCTTCGCAGCCCTGTGCGCCGGGGTGTGTGTGCAGGGAAGTGGAGAGGGACATAAATAAGGAGACCACCAGATGTAAATAATAAAAGTGGTTGGGGTTTAAATAAAAAACGAAAAAGCAATTTGGTTTCCCTGAAGAGTGGCCTGATTGAAGAAAAAGGGTAGTAAGACGGAAAGTGTGTGCGTGTGGGGGGATGTTTCTGTTGTCTGTGATTTTTTACAGGCCTAAATAAGCGTTCATTCCATTCCTTAAAACCTTGCCATCTGTATACACCATTAGAAGCTCATAGGAGAAGAGAAAACAGTCTTATCAGGCTTTCCTGTTAATCTCTATTGCCCTTAACTTTAGCTGATAAAAGGCGCGCTGGACGGAGGAGGTTCAGGTCAGGCTCCATTTGGTCAGCGCGGTAACGTTACTGGAAAGTAGCTCAGCAAACTGGGTCCTATCGGGGACCTTTGTCTTTGAGGACGGAAACACACCTCGAAATCACAGCGCTGGGATAGGAGATGACTTCGCTGTGCCGCAGTCAGAAGGGAATAAACAAGTACCTCGACTGTGTCTGAGTTTTTATTCCAGTACCTGAAGTCATGATGAATTCTGAGGCAGGATGACATTTCTGACAACTGAATTATACTTTTCCTAAAGAATAAAGAATGTCTTTTGGATGTAAACAGAGAGATGCAAAAGAGCCCTTTAGTGTTACTTGTAGCATTTATGCATCTGTCTAATGAAATTTCCACAACTGTGATTACAGAAGATGCAGTCGAAGGTGTGCCACCGTCTTTTATTATCTGCGGAGGAATTTAACCGGGGGGCGGGAGGGAGGGAGGGG